AAAAGGCACGTAGTGATGAGTGAAACGGAGCTTTTCTATACTCCGAATCAGTTAAACCATTGCGTAGCAAAACGATTCACGGTTTCGAAGCGCTCCAATCCGATCGCGTATCGCGAATCATTTGATTCAGATCGGGACTTCGGAGCAGATTCGCGAATCATTTGATTCGGAGCTTTTGGAACTGGTTCGCGAATCTTTTTTTCAGATTTTTTTTATAAACCGTACAAAACATCAAACCATTAAGGCAGTACAGCTATATAAACAAAACAAATAAAAATGAAAAAAAAAAAAAAAAGTAAGTATAGATCCCTTAAGAAAAATTAACCATGCAAATACTATGGTTAAACTATGGTTAGTGTAGCAAAACCATGGTTAATTTGTGCTTACCATGCTGTTGTTGTTGTTTTTTTGTAGTAAAACCATGGTTAATTTTCATAAGGGATGTGTTACCAGGTTAACAACAAAAGAAAGAAAAAAACTAGGACACACAGGATGAATAGCCTACAGAGCAGCTTTCACTGCTTTAGGATGAACAGAACTTTGGATAGTTTCCATATACTTGTCTAGATCAGTTGTGAATAAAGAAAAGAGAGATTTAGAGCCAGATTTTTGTTTATGTATGTGAAATTTAGCTAGCAGGAAACACAAATGAAGTTTTGACAAAAATTAATTTTGCTATATTCTCTTTCGAGTAGTCAAAATCAAAATGTGTTGGAAACATTATTTTTTAAATAATATATTTTTTTAAACATATTGAAGTCTTGCATATATTTACAAAATAAATTGAGTATTTATTGAACAATTTATTAATTAAATTATTTATGTTGACTTAATATAAACATAATATCTATTCATTTAATGTATTATGTATTTTCATAACAATATTATTACTGTTACTATTATTTTTAATAGTAAGCCATATTTGATTAATTTCTGCTTTGAACAATTCTGATTAAAAAATGCCTAGCAATGAAATCCGAAGGAACCGTTTAAATGTTCTAAAGCTGCAGCATGACACAAAAGCAGTAAAGTGAGTGACGGCAGTGCAGTGATCAGCTGAGAGCGTCCGCTGTGATTTCTGTCTCTTTTGACCCCCGCCCCGCAGCAGACGGCAGAGGGGTCCCGGCTAATTTATGTCCTGAGAAAAGGGGTGCGCATCGCCCCCATAAACTGTGTTGCTGGGGTGAGAGAGACTCAAAGACACTGCAGAGAGCCATTAGACAATGAGGAGGGAGTCGCAGGGAGCGCAGACAGCTGCACGACTGCATCAGTATCAACACAGCCAGAGAAACAGATGTTCCTCTTCACAAAGACTGAGAGAGATTGCCTCATGCACACATATCAGATTTTTTATTAGAGTAGTGCAATGAAAAGAAAATTCTTTGCTTACTTTAATCTTTCAATAAACAAAATTTCAGATAACATTTTGAAAATATTTAAATAATTTTTCAATAAAATAAATTTTTTACATTTTAATGTAAAAATCAAACAAAAATAATACAATAAATAAAATGATATGCTTTAAGGGCTTTAAGCTACAACATAAAAATAAACAATTTAACTGTAACTGTACTACAATAACTAAAACTAAAATTAAAAACTCTGTAGACATATTTAAAAAAAAAAACTGACAACAACAACATTACTGAAAATAACCCTAAAAT